TCGTGGACTGCAATATGGAATGGTCCCTTGCGGAATCGCAAGATATATGCGTCGAGGTCCTGCCTAGTGAAAGGTTAGTTGATCTTAATTTTGCGGATGATATTGTCTTGCTTTTTGACGATGATGTGGCGATACAATCAACCCTGAATTGCTTGCCTAGAGTGCTCCCATTATTTGTTATGCGCTTCGCGCCTTAAAAGTGCAAAGTATGGCTGCAGGACCACCAGTCCCTTGATGAACCCTTGGCCCTTTATAAGGATGCACTCGAGCTGGTTGATCGATTCACTTACCTTGGCAGCTGCATCAGTAACGATGTGCGCATAGCTACTGAAGTCGGTTCACGCAGTGCAAAAGCCAGAACTGTCTTCTTGTACCTCCGGCGTCCTTGACGACAGAGGAGAGTTTCACTCCGTCTTAAAGGCCGTGCATACAAGGCCACAGCGAAGGCGATTCTGCTATACGGTAGTGAAACGGCCGCTTTGTTCTGAAAGTCTGACACGCATTGAAGTCTTTGATCCTCGTTGTCTGCGAGGCAGTGCTGCAGTCAGATGGCACCAGCGTGTCCGAAACGATGATATGCGTAGGAGAGTACAACGTAATGATAATCATGCTAGCTCCTTAGATCAACAGATAGCACTGAATAAGTTGCGTTCGCTTGGGAAGGTGCTGCGTATGCCCGGTCACCGCTTACCTAGGAGGGCCTTGTTTAATATGCCAGGTGCAGGGGGCGCAGGGCTAGAGTTGGACAGAAGTTGACTTAGCAGCTTGAAACGAAGTCATTGACGATCAAACTTAGTGCGGTTGATCCGTCTCGCCTTCCAGGCTGCAGTCCACGGGACTCGCCTTTTGCTTAGCTCGAGACTTTACAAGACATGGCTCGCAACGGACACCAGTGGCGTGTCTGCTGCCGTCTGCTAGTAGGATTGCTTATTTAAAGCGTATTTAGTGCTGTGGTATCCGCTGGGTAATGGCTGATTATGACGCGGGACAGTAGAAGCCGCAAGGAAACCGTCTCGCTGATGCCGCTTTATCTTTGCACGACAGCCACCTTTCTGTGACGGTATGTTGATGACGCAAAGTGTATGCGCTTTGACCCTGAATGTTTGCTTAGGGCATTAGGGTTTTCCGGTATGACCCCCAACTCTTCCTATTGTTATTCTTTATTCCTTAAGTCATCATGGTTGTATGGCAGCGAAGTCTCAGTTCAAATGGCTGCTGTACTGTTGTTGTTGATTGTAAAGCTAGCATCTGCATTGATTATGTTGAAAATATACGACGTCCCACGCTTAAGTAATTTGCTTTTCGCCCCGATGGCTTTGGGACTTGTACATTTCGTCGATGGTAAGTCACTGACATTATGTAAAAAGCCACCTGACAAAAGTCCGTTACACTGACGTTGTGATGAGCAAGCGTACTATAGTAAGAATAAAAAGCAGTCAAGATAAAATTAATTTTGATGTTACTAGCCAGGACACTCGGCATAATGAACGAATTCGTATAGCTAATTCTAACTCCGCGTCAGGCACTTCCTTTCATAAACATTATAACCTCGGAACTTGAGCACTGAGGTGGCTGGACCAATGCGGTCAACATGTAGAGGTGGTTAAACTACTGAGTTCGGGATCCATGAGTTTTATCTTGTAAGCGCTCAGGAAATAAAGAAATAGTACTGTCAAATTGGTGTGGTGGTCAGAATATGGAAGTGGTTAACTTTATAGGTATTACTGCATACATTTGGACTGATGGAATTCTTCTTATGCTGATTGAACATCTGTTGCACTCGGTAACATCTCCAAAGTTGACCATCTCTATTTATAGTTAACCTCTATATGTTGACCAATTTTTCATGCTTTGAATGTTTGTAAACCCTAGGGAACAAGACCTCTATATTTTGACCACCTCTGTATGTTGTACCATGACTACTTGTTCTATGGCAGTCAGTAATAATTCAACCTCCATAAATTTACCATTTATAGCTTACCATCTTACGGTTCCTGAATGGCTTGTTTTTCCGAAAAGACGATGGGCAGCGGGACTGCAATGTGTGGACATCTGACCTCCAAATCAGTGAACTTTAGGTTTCAGGGCACCGCATGCTCTTTGTATGTGCCTGTTGGTCCCGGCCGTCAGCGTTTACGCGCACGCATATTGCCTAAGTCAATTGGGTTCCCACCGATCGACGCCCACAGAATGACCTAGAAGGATGTGTACAACCTCTCTCACCTGTCCACGTGCACAGGCAAGCCTTCGTCTACCCCTTCGTCCACCCATCGCACGGGCCGCAGTCATGGGTTTCAGTGACTGTCAGAACGATTAACGCCCAGATATAAGCATCAGTTCATTAGCACCTTACATTGTGGCAAGATTTACGTTTACGCTCACAATATGTCCAGCGTTTATCTGGCTCTATTTGATGTCCATCTGAGAGTGAAACCGTTTGTGGTTATTTATTAAGTGTAAATAATGTTACTTAAATTGAACCGTAGACCTTAGATCCGCTCCGTTCTTAGAACAACTTAGGATCGGTCATTACGAGTAAATCAACATTATGGCCCAAAAGTAAAACCCTGAGCGTTGACTTTGAAGGAAAAGTTTAGTCTATTAAATTTTCTGGAAAGCAGTAGCCAAAGAAAGACGGCAGGGTATTTTGAAGTTAGCAAGCCAACAGTTAGCAACTTCCAAAGAAATAAACATGAATATTTGGAGATATGAAGATGCACGAGATCTACATCGAAAGAGGCAAAAATCTTCAGACGATGAAGCCAATGCGGCTACGCTGCGCAGTTTAGAGCAAATGAGAGCAGCTCACGCTTGATTCTCTGAGCCGATGATTCAATAAAACTTTCTCATAAGTAATTAAGGTCGCAGATTTCCAGGCATCCCATGGTTAGCCAAAGAAATTGAAATTCTGACATGAAATTTCCCAGATAGTTTTATGTGGTAAATCCAATGAAGTATCCGAAGAGTTTGTTCAAATGTTCTTCGACCAATGTTCCAACTATGAGGAGACTTTTAACGCTTATTTTTGCAGTCGCTTTTACAAGGCGATGCTGAACAGAAGGTTTGTTATAAAGGGTGAGAAATATATGCGTAAAAAATATTTTACCGAAAGTTCCACATTGAAGATAATCTAAAGCCCATGGCCAACGGTAAATCAGCAAGATCACGTGCGTTCAAAAACCTAAATCCTGAAAACCTTCCAGTCACCTGGAGATTAAACCGATCTGCGTGGATCACTGCTGCCATAGTTAAGGAGTGGATGGGAAATATCGGGAAAGAAATGATGAAGAAGCAACCGTGGGCAGCTGTCCTAGTCACGCAGAGGTAAAAATCTCACAAATATTACACGTAAGTTTCTGTCTCCAAATATGACCACGCGGATACCATCTCTGGAGCAACTGATCATGGAAATGTTCAAAATGCACTTCCGGGCCAAGCTCATGCAATGTGCTATGGCTAAATTGCATACTAAGGATACTCCTGCGGCGGGAACTTCATCGATTTCTTTAGTTAATGCCACGAATGATATGTTTCGGATAAGTTCTGCTTGGTTCAAATTTCAAGCAGAAATAAGACGTATTTCAGCAAAGCTATATTTCTTAGGCTTCTCGAGCAGGATGCGTCGCCTTATTGGACATTCCATCTCTTTGAGCAGAATTCAACGGAACAGATTTACTGAGTTTATTGAAAATAATGATGACTTGCTAACATGCACTGATCCAGACTCAGATGTGATTTTCCAAGTGAAGCTGAAAGCGGTACACCACAACGGAAATAAAGCAAAACACCTGATTAAGATGAATATGAAAAAGAAGGATTGTGGTACGATGAATTTGAAATCACAGAAATCCAACAAGAAAAACCAATTCAGACAACTTTTAACGCAACTGAAATCATTTGCTGCAGAAATACAGCAAGGCATGCTGCGCAGTGAGGCTAATGCTGGGAACGCTTTTTCAGTTATTGGTAAAATAAACAGACAGAGATCGACTTTTGTTTAATACATGATTGAACTTCGAAATGCGCACTGCGTTGGGGTTATCATAACACTGAATGGTTGAACTGCATTTGCCGTTACGTGAGAGCTCGTCTAATGTGATTGAAGGTTTATTTGAAAAGCATTTTCATAATATACTACTCAAAACAGCAAAGTAGGTAAATGCTAACGCTTGGCCTAGAACCGCGTATATTGTAAAACTATGTTGACCACGTTTGTCGTCCAATGAGTGGTCAACTTACAGAGGTTTCATTGTAATTAAAGTATAAACGTCCGAATAATATTGCTGACATCAGGAAAGGGATGCTTTCTCCATATCAGACAACTGCAAATGTGACCATGCTGTTAACAGTCGCAAATAGTTTAGCCAGACAATGGAATACTACGGCTAGTTTACCTGAACATTTATAATTCTATCAGCGATTCCTACGGCAAACATGAATTATTCGCTGGATGAGTCATCGTTTTCTGAGTGGATGGCGGCATGCAATCCCAATCAGACACATGATTCACGTAAAGTGGATTCCATACAATTAGATCGGAAAACCACTTATGAAACAGACGAATGTTACCTGTTGTACCTCCGCAGCAATGCATTAAACTATAGGTCGGATAGCTATTTACACTCAACGGGTAGAGACAGCAAGACTGCCATTCGAACGCTGGACGTCATTTTGTTATCCAAAGCCCCTAACACGCTACACGAGTCAAGGCGAGTAACTTTTGTCACAATGGCTAGTCGGAACTTAAGGAAGAGATTTCAAGATATTTATTTGACAACGCATTCCAAATCTGTTCCACTGTCATATGACTTTGACAATTTAGAATTAGTGCTTCGTAAAACCCAACATTATCCCATTTAAATCTGGCTTACCGCTCACGTACCAAGCGCTTTTATGTTTCTTCAAGTGCATGGTGTCCAGTTTGACGTCCAATAGTCCGCGAGTTTGAAGCCTGAAAATAGGTATGCAGATTTCAGAATCGCAATCACAATGAGCCAATGCTATAAATACCACTGAACTGAAAAACGGTTCAATTCCATCTTCACACTGCTTACCTCGGACGATGATTCCGGTGTATTGAATACAAACTGGACTATGGTGTACAGTGCATGACGGAATGCTTTCTGAAAACAGCAGTAGTTGATAAGGCTTATCGAATGTTACACAGACAGTAGATGAAGAGAACGAATATAGCATACCCAGAATTATTATTATACTCTTCGGCACTGTGTAAATTAATGCAGTAGGTTAGGCTGTTCTATGCACAATATGCAGGCTCTCCGAGTGATTTACTAATATGTTAACACGTAGTACTAGATTCCGGATATTACTTTTATTGTTATCCTACTGCTAAACACTCCCAAGGAAAAAGGTAACGGGGATAACTGCAGAAAAGAAACATATTTCAGAGTCGAATTTGGAGTATTCATCCTGTGGTTGGATTGCGACATGCAATCTCCATTGAGACTTCAGTTCACTTTGAAGTAAAACTTGGTCGATCCGGTCACAAGCATCGCATCCGAAATGGAGGAGCATCATCGAAACACCTCCATCTCAGATATGGCTTTGTGAAATGAAGCTGTTTATGTGTTCGCGTCAATCAAGATGGACCATGTGGTCAATGATATTGGAAAAAACGCTGGTCCGCCATATCACCAATCTACATGACCGCGGTGTCAGGACTCATATACCACGCGAACCATTGGTCTTTGTACCCGTCCGAGTAGTTCATCAGGCAGTTCCTCCTCTCGTGTTGTTTCTCAGTTCATCTGCTGTTGTGGTAACATTTTCACAGGCGGCACTGTTTGTTAATATTTTCACAGAAGGAAGTTGAACAAGTGCCAAAGTAGTTATGATGCCTGACGTCACAAAATAGAGAAGCGGATATGAGTATGAAGATAAGCGCCACATTATCTGACAACAAGTCCCTAGTAGTAACTAATCATCATGAGAACCCGTAGACGGCTTTCGATGTGTTTTGCGCAACAATAGCTCGGTAATCTTGGCAATGAATCAGGCTTTCCAAATAACGCACATCAACTGCGTTATGTGCACAGAAACATTTAAACCAGTGGATTACATTCTCTATGTATCGATTAGCACACCCTGATGAGCTTTGTTAATTGCTCTATGTCTAAACTGTGAAATTGTTCCGCTTATATTCTATTTGCGACTAGTAACAACAGTCGAAAGGTCGAGATATGGCGACCCAATTCTTCGCACATCGTTACCGCTGTTTCGTTACCGCAACATATTCTAACTCTGATTGAGATAGCGTTCCAACACTCTATCGTGTGAAAATTATAATAAACAATGACGGGAATTAACATAAATCAGTTTATTGTCCGTAAAATGATCCAGATGTGACATTAGCCACAAGACTCGTTATCGGATGGATCTGTTAACTTTGAGATCATGCACTAAGCGTATAAATAAGATAACACAACCTGTTGTTCGTAAGCAAATACTTGCTCCAAAGGAAGCGAAGAAAACCGCGAGAACGTGTGTTTCTAATGAGGAATCCTCTGCCAAATTAAAAGATATTTGCATATGTCGGCACACAGCTTACTACGTACTAATGCTGTGTTTCCATAGTTAACCTTCCGAAAGTACGCCGAATAAAGCATATCAAATTTTGTATAGGAAACAAGAGGAATCGTCTAGGAAAACAATATGGCGTGGATGTTACAGGTTGGATAGCCTATTAGTGCAATAAATTGCTAGCTGTAACCCCTAAATTTATTCAATGCTCTTTTGCGCCAGGAATGTTATTGAAAGCTCAGCTTTTATCATGCAATTGGCAGATGGATGGGTTGTTACCGGTAAAAAATCTATTCTATGAAAAACATGTTTTGGCTCAACAGTGCTATATAGATAATAACATAAACGAAGCCGTTGAGTGGCAAACAGGCGTCCCATTACAATCGCGTATTTATACCCATGGTAGAGCACTCATCCGAGGAGGTTCAACTGTTACATTGTTTTACATCACAATGCTTTTATCTGCTTCTCGAGTTTATTGAATTGCATCTGTTTCAAAAGGTTGGAGAATGCGCAGACTGAACAAGTAGAAAGGGGTGATGATCATCACGATAACCGGACTTAATGTTGCTGTTTAATTCCAGATGCAACGGCTGGAAACTGCAACAGAGCTATCCACAGCAGAACTCACCATGCATTCTAATGATTGTCGGTCCGTGATGCACTGCGCCAGCGTTTTCAAGAAAGCATCAATTGCTGGCTGAAATGGCAAACAATTCAAGAGATAAGGAAATGTTATATAAAGTGTGAAGTTTTGTTCCGCCATCCGCGCCGAAAATTGGTAATCCAATCTAGCTAGCAACCGAGGAATTTGTGAAGTCTAACTAGCCGTTTGGCAAAACCAAATCAAATTTTAATGATTAATGTGACACACACAGGCTGCTTTTGTATGGAACTGACCCATCTGTGTTATCAATATAGAAAATGTTCACCAATGGTAGCACCCGTCTCCTTTTGCTATATCACCTCTTACAAGCGGAAAGCTAACTGGCACACGACGAAGCCGGGTGATTCCTGAGAACTGCGCACCAAATACCGACTGGAGGTTTACGTCTGTATGTCACGGTATCCCTGTTACCTTAATTATCCGGAACTCTATTATTCTACGTAACATGAGCTGACATTGTAGGCGCCCTAATGAAAATGATAAGTTTAAAATGTTCTATAAACGTTTGGACCCACAGAGTTTAATAGGTAACGAACGCAAATGAAAAGCCTCAAAAATGGGATACCAATCCTTTCTGAATGCCCTGTGAGCAGTAGTTAAGTAACCCCGGGAGAAGACTTACAGAATGCACTGCGTCACTAGCCGCAACCAGCTATTCTGTAACGACTTTGAAGCGGCAAATTAACTAACAGTACGGCATTGGCCATAAAACCATCATAATGTTACCGTTCTACGCTAGCGGGTGACGGAGATGAGAATTAAAGTCCATACAATCAGCACGTTACTAACCTTGTTCTCATTCCATAAAGCTTCCACTTCTTTCTCCACTGGCTCTAAAGAGAGGTGATCCGTTCTCTGTTTTCAGCGAATGAAATATTCATTTGATTCCTCGATGTAACCTGGCCGCACTTCTGCTTATAACAAAACGGGAGATTATGTATAAAGTGCGTATAGACACGATAACCAAATACACTGGACCAACGCTGGCTAAACGGCGAAATGTACCAAAGCAGTCCGCGTTGTCCAGTTAGAGGTATTACAGAACCACGCGTCTACTCGGCAGTGAGAATTCTAAAACGATAGGTTAAATCAAACACGGTGTAATACCTTTTTCTTTTGTACCTCTCTTTCAGATACTTTCGGTGTGACAATTTTCTTCCTGAACTGTTCTCGCAACTCTCGTGTGCCTCAAACATCTATCACACCACATTTAACTAGGCAAATTGTAATGGTGTGGAAACGAGTGACTCACATGTAACAGAAATATTTGTTTCCCGTATTGCCCTACTGCTTTCCGCAATTGGATGAAAGACAAGGTTCATTCGATCGTTTGACATAGTGGTTACGGAAACATCAATTGTTAAATTTAATTGTAACCTAAGTATTGAGATATGGTTACTTGCAACGCCGCCAGATAGTATTTTCCGACCTCGGTTTACAACCATCTGACCGGTCATGTACAGACTGCAAATTAGCTCGACCCTGTCTGGTGCTGCAGCATCTGGTTTGTGCATCTGTTTCAGGACAAGAGGAAGCGATGAGCATAGAAAAGAACCAACGATTTGGTTTATGTTTGCATGTAATTCATTTCAAAAGGTTCCTTTTTGTAGCAACATTTTCTGCTTTAATTCTTCCAAATGATAGGTTGGAGAAAATGTTTCCACCGAAACTAATCTGTATTAGCTGGTACAGATAGTTACCTGCGACATACACATTTCCAATTGGCAGCTGTGCGTCAGAAGCATTCAGGACATAGTCTCGCGTTGTCCGTGGTGACGTAAGTTTGAAGTATGCTGTCGTGCTCCGGAGATCCACGAGGAAGGCTCCAAAAGTGAAAGCTCCATCGATCGAATCTGCGGCAACTACAAATCGGAAGTTTGTGTAAGAGACATCGTAACTACCTCACACTAGACTGGTGTTTGTCCTACTTACGAATTGCAAGCAATATCACTTGTATGATAGGACTTGGTCTTTCTATGGTCTAAACCGGTTGGCAAAATAACACTTACTATTGAGCAAGCAACAGTATCCCTAGCAACAATACCCATATCTCGCACCAAATGTTTGTTTCGAATGCAGGTCGCACTACCTAAAGTTGGAATCCGTCCAGAACGTGCATCATTGATATGTTGAAACCGGTGCAATGCGCTATAATTGTACTCGTTAATTACAACAAAGGTTGCGTGGTAAAATTAATGAACCTGAAAGTCTCGAATACTTAAATGTAAATACACTCCACACGATTGTTGTGTAAACGTTCCAATTATTGTAACTAATTCCGTACGAATATAGTGAAACGGGGAATATGGATAGTGCGATTGACATGCCAGATCCTCCGTCGAAGAACCCACCTGTGGAAAGAATTGTAGACGGTCACTTTTAGGGGATGGCCGCCAGGTTTATCCTCTATAGAGCAATGACAAACAAGTTAGGCGGCTCCTTGATTTATTGCAAACAGCTGCTTCCACATGGTCCAGTGGATTGTGATAAACGACGTTTGGACATATTCCTAGCCTTTTCGCCTTTGTCAACGTTCGTTTAACATACCATACGGGGCATGGTTTTAAAAAGATCAAATCATACGCTGAATGTGTGGGCTTACTATCAGATACAATCAGTCAGGTTTGTAAATAAAATTAGGTACAGCAAATTAAAGAAAAACACAGATATCCAGCTGGAAGTAAACTAGTTTGCTTGATAGAAAGAAAATTTAACTGTGCACATGAAATTGCGTTTGTGTGAGATTTTATCAAATCCGAACACAAAAGCCGACAAGGTCCAATATTCGGAAGCACTGCCGTGTAAAGTTGTCGCCACAGTTAATAAACAAGATTTTGCATTCTCTAATGTTAATAGCGTGCAGTCCGAAGATAACTTGCATAAATTATTCTTGGTAGATCATGACTCGGCATCGAAGCAAAGCATACAAGCCCGTTCGAGTCAAAACGGTGAAAGAACAGCCGTCAATCCCTATGTGCAATATAATTTAGACTGCAAACCGCCGGATTTGTACACTGGAACTATCGCACACGAACAAGTTGATTGCGTCCTTCTCAAGGGACCGCAGCGGACTACTGAATGAAGACAAACTATCTGCTATCTGCGTAGGAATTAGACGCAAAACTGAAACACGTTTTAAAGGTTGAGCTGAACAAGTCATCCAACCACATTCTTATCGCTCGAGACATTAATGTGCACAACGTCAAAATGCGATCAACCGATGGTGCACAGTTTAAGGCCTGTGTATACGAGCTATATTCCAGCTACCCTCTGTACAACCAAGTCACCTCTCCCACCACATTTTGACTTGCTTAAAGGCGATCGATACTTTATCTTGAGCTCACCAACTCCGAACGTATGGTCGACAGAATAGTTACAAGCGCAGCATTGGATCTCAGTGACCATGGTACTATGCTGTTTGACTCTATATGCTATACGGAATACCTAAGCGTGCTATCCACGCTTGTTAAAAGTTTTTCGTGGACTTTCTTAAATGAATGCCCCATAGTTTGCTCGAGAAACTTTCACGTAATGTCAATGACTTGCCATCGACGAAATGTACAAGTCCCAAAGCCATCGGGGCGAAAAGCAAATTACTTAAGCGTGCGACGTCGTATATTTTCAACATAATCGATGCAAATGCTAGCTTTACAATCAACAGCAGCAGTACATCAACCATTTGAACTGAGACTCCGCTGCCATACAACCATGATGACTTAAGGAATAAAGAATAACAATAGGAAGAGAAGGGGGACTTACCTGAAAACCCTAATACCATAAATAAACATTCAAGGTCAAAGCGCCTACACTTTGCGTTATGTACATACCGTCACAGAAAGCTGGTTGTCGTGCAAAGATAAAGCGGCACCAGCGAGACAGCTTCCTTGCGGCTTCTACTGTCCCGCGTCATAATCAGTCATTACCCAGCGGATACCACAGCACTAAATACGCCTTAAATGAGCAATCCTACTAGGAGACGGCAGCAGACACGCCACTGGTGTCCGTTGCGAGCCATGTCCTATAAGGTCTCGAGCTAAGCAAAAGGCGAGTCCCATGGACTGTAGCCTAGAAAGCGAGACGGATCAACCGCACTAAGTTTGATCGTCAATGACTTCGTTTCAAGCTGCTAGGTCAACTGCTGTCCAACTGTAGCCCTGCGCCCCCTGCACCTGGCAGATTAAACAAGGCCCTCCTAGGTAAGCGGTGACCGGGCATACGCAGCACCTTCCCAAGCGAACGCAACTTATTCAGTGCTATCTGTTATAGATCTAGAGCAAAATCACTGGTGACAGGAACTCAGTTTAACTTGCGGTTGGAAAATCAGTTCCAAGTGCTCACTTATCAGACAGCGGTGTTCCTTCGAGCCAAATACAAAGATATAATAAAATACTGTTATTTAGTATTTCATGACAGGGAAAATGATCTGCTCGTTTGCATTTGTTCCTTACTTAGGTCCCTTTAATTGTTACTTTATTCACGTGCTCATTGTCAACTCCCGTTATTAGATACGGGCGTATCCGTGAATGGTTGAAAAAACATAATAAAGCACTTGGTTCTAGGTCCCATAATCTATATGTACCAAGCACTGGAAATGGATTACTGCCGATGTAATTTTGTACTTGAGTTGCAAACCTTTCATTAAGAACCATGGTGGCACTTTGAATGTGTATTTCCAAACGAACGAAGGACTTGTGGATACGATAAACTATAATGTCAATTATGCATTAAATAGAGCTCAAAATTATTGCTTGCTTTGGATAAGAGAAATATGCGTGGTTGCTTTTACTAAATCCCCTGAATTATGTTTTGGTTCTTTGAAACCATTTGTTGGTGCATGATTGTATGATAGAAATCGAAAAGAACTGTAAGTCCAAATGACCCCAAAAATACCAAGATCAACTACAAAGATGACCAAAGTTATACGTAAGATAGGCACCCCCGTCGGTAGAGTGAACCTTCGGGTCATCATGATAGGTCTCTTCACATTCTCTAGCAAACCGGCATAGCATGTTAAAACATTTACTAACCATGTGTCTAGGTAATATAAGTTGAACCAGAACTCAGAATAAGAACAATCTAAACCCAACTTCAAAGTAAACTACCTCTTCTGGTTGAACCCAAAGAAAATGATCCACGGCACCCATTGAACAAATTAACTCACTGAGTCAGGAACCTGCGAGTTCACCCAAATTTAGGGCACAGCTGACCAACCAAAATAGGACAGGTTGAGAATCTAGGCGCCTGACATACTGTGGGGTAGTCAGTCAACCATGGGGCGCCTAATTAACCAATCATCAATTAGCAAGCTCCGATAGGACTGGGACTGTTGCATAACCATGTAGATAATTTCATTCATGGCAAATACGGAAGAAAGGCATCAACATGAATGATAATAACAATGAGTAGTGGAAGGTATAGAAAATAACCTCAAACTATAGAGATAGGTATGGTGTCTATTCGTGTTACTAGCTAGGCCAGCAAACTGGACGCTGAAGACCTTAAACATAATTCGACGCGAGAACAGATATTCCGTTCCAATCCCGCCACAGTTCCGATTTTGCAGCCGCTTTGGGTGAACGCAGGTGCCCAAACATCCCAGCACCTAGTCTCATCGAAACTTCAGTAAGATGTTGAATGTATTTCCAAACTAAGTAGACGCTCGATGTACGTATATCACATTAAACCCCCGAACAACCTAGCACCTGCGTAATCCATTGCAACTCTTATATCCAAGGTTGGTTGTTTAGCTGTCATTTGATTCGCAAGCTTGATTAAATAGTCGCATACGCTTCGTCACAATGCGAGGTGGTATTGTCAGTGTGCTGATACTTGATGGTCAATCTCACTGATTAAATATTTCATTCGAAAACGATTGGCGGGTGACCTATGAAAGTGCTGTTGTTGTGCAATACTGAGTAGTTCTAGTCCATTCAAATTACCCACTAACGAACCCAGGGGTCGTGCTCATATCGCCATCCTCCAACTTGCTGGATGTAACGAGCACACATGTCTGCGAGATAAGGTTAAGTTTATTTCAGACCACTTAATTGGAAATTACTTTATCACATGCCATTTGAAGCGTGTCGCTTACCGAAATCAAGCAACGCATACCTGAAGCCTTGGCTCGCATTGTTTGCTAACTTCCAAGCCATATGTTTGGATATGACTCAACAATACTCTAGTAACTTTATTAACCAATGGTTGCCGGACAGCGCATGAATAAAAAGTGTTCCAGCAAGACGGAGGTAGATGAGTGGGTGATCACACGAAAACCCACTAACTGGAGACCATGTTCACTCTCCGCTCGGCTGCTCTTGCGACTCCAGATATCATCCATTACTTTAGACTTACTATTAATGGAAGTTCAGAGTGTACGCTAACACTACTAACCTTGAGTTTAAATATAATCTGCCGGAGTGCTTTACTTTTTTCCGGGTGGAGAGAAGCACGCACAGTAGCCGCGGATGAGGATATGACGAGTCACCAAAAACAGTACCATACGGCTTATCTTCCGGACAGTAAAGCCGGGATATCCAAATGACAGAATTTCGTTACGCACACTTTATACCATTCTATATTATCCAGTATGTGTTTGATTGGTAGAACAGCAGTGAATTCAAATACGTTACAGACGATACCTATGATAACCTTGTAAGCATCGAGAAAACAGGTGCATTTGCCCCACTCATATATTGACTCACACTAACAATAGTCAACTCTACCGCTAGTGCTGAGAATGCACAGC